AGCCCCCAACCCAAAAAAAGTCCACCCCAGCCCAGTTGTTTAAAGAGACTAAATCTCATTTTCAAACAGGATTTAGGCACTTACGAGCCAAAATCCATTACCAGCCAGTACTAATATACTATACTAGATCTGCAGGTTAGCTTAAGGTACAGCATTCAGCAATGCAACATGCTAGCTGGATTTGGTTTATCTTAAGCCGAGCCACTGCAGTGTCTACACTGCAGGAGGCCAATGGGAGCAAACACTCCCATCACCTTCCCTTACTCCTCACAGAACAACACTGGCAGGAGATGCCTTTGGTGCTCGATTTGGGTCTACACTAGACCCACTAAATCGAACACTAGAAGATCCACCCCGGAGGAACAATCTTTTCCATAGTGTAGACATGCCCCATGTCTGGATGCAGCTTATACTGGCAAAGATGTGCTTTTACTGGAATAGTGCATTCCTTCCCCTGACTGAAACAAGCCACACTGGTAAAAGCTTACTTCTGCCTATATAACTGTGTCTACATTGGGGGCTTATATCAGCCCAGTGGTTTGATCAAATTACCTCTGTTCATAGCCCTGATTGACAGAACTAGAAGAAGTTTGAGAGGATTGACAGAGCGGTGTGGGAAACCCAGGACTGGAATAGCAGAAAGAAGATCAGGTGGTACAAGATATAGGACAGACAAGTTCTCCCATAATTCACTGAGAAACCACCATAGAATAGTTCAGCTCATTGCAGTGCAAAGAACCCCAATACATGCAGTTGGCTGAGTGCAGCACTACGGAGTACACAGTACTGCTGTAGAGCTTTGCAGGGAGACCTCACACACCTAGGGATGCTTCCGTGAAGACACACTAAGAGGGTTGCATGAAAGATAACAAAAAGTAAATACTCAAGAATCAACAACCAACACTGAACTGTCACCAAAACAGAGGGATCAGAAACAATAAAACGTGGCCCACTGAGTCAGGACACTTCCCAGTCTCAAAGGAGAACTGTGTGTGTGTTGATGCGGATTATGTTATTTTGGAATAACGTCAGTTATTCCAAAATACATTGCTGTGTAGAAATAGCCTTAGAGCCCAGTGTTTCTCAACTCATGGCTACCCAATCAGCTCACAGCTGCAGCCCCTGTGACACCCTATATATTGTGTGGATGTGGGCCACATAACACATAGAGAGCTGCATATGTAGACCACAAAAGTAAATAGCTTGAGAACCATTGAGCTAGATCCTGGGAATGTGCATAGAACCAGTCAGCTAAATGAGAGAGAGAGAGAGAACCCAGTGCCACCTCAGAGCCCTGGCCCTCCCCACACAGAGTTCCACTGCCATTTGGGGCCATCTTTGTGCCTCAGAGAAAGGATTCCAGCAACTGCCCACTCACCCCACTGGATTCCCTACTGTAGGGAGGAATCCCTTCCTAACCCCTGGACGTAGCTGGCTGACACCATGAAGCACCAGCTTTTAAGAACATAAGACATAAACTGTGAGCTAATGGTATTAGATGTGGGGAAAGGTAAATGTCTGTGAGCTCATTGTGTAAAGTGTAAAGTGAAATTTTGTAAAATTGTAAAAAAAATTGTGTAAAGTGAAATTTTGAGGATGAGGTGTGTAGCGTGTTCTGAAGGAGAACAATCCTGCAGTGACCACAGTGTGGAAGGGTCCTGGGTCCCAGGCTCCTGTTCAGTTCGCAGTCTCACAGTTTAGGTACTGCATGAATAGACTCTGCTTGCCCTTGCTTTGGACTTTGGGCACTCATGTAAAAAGGCATTGGGGTAGATACCTGCTGATTAGTCTGGGCTGGGTAAACAGTTCTCTCTTGTTCTCTTTCAGCCCCCTGCAGGGAAGCCTTTTTGAAAGGCCCTGTGACAGCCTCAGGTAAGATCAGCTGGCCCTTAATTGAGGTATAGCAGCCCCATGGCTGCTGCTGCTCCCACTCTGCCTGTGATAACTCCTGATCAGCTGTGCGAGGCTGCCCTGAAGTAACCCTTTCTTCTGCTTTTTAGAGCTGCCTCTCTCCCCCTTCTAATCTAGCCCTCTAGCCTGACCCTGTCATAACTGGGAGGCAGACAGGTCTTCTGCAGTATCTACTGGCACTAGAGCTGGTCAGGTATAGAACCATTCCAATGTGTTTCCAGTTGGAAGATGTTTAATCCCATTTTTTAGATAACTGGAGCACAGGAATCACAGCATCAAGGAGCTATTTTCCATTTTTGCCTCTTTTGTGAAGTGAGGTGGAGAAAACTGGGCTTTTTGTCTTCTTTCAAAACAAAAGGACGAGGGGAGTCCAGTTAAAGATCTGGGACCCTATTTTCCTCTTGCAAGAGCTGATTAACTTCCATTGGAATTACTTGTATCATAACTGCGGAAAACTGAGACCCAGGAGTGCTAGGGATTTGGTGAAAGCACATCATTTGGGCAATGGATAAAGCCTCAAAGATTATGCTGCTGCAGATGTCTAGCATTGGATCTTACAGGGAGAGGCCCTAAGTATGAGTGATCTAGATCTCTTTTTACCTCTGATTTCCTTATTCTTTAGTCTCATCATCATCTTCTTAAAAGTCAAGATGGTGGTGCAATGTGGGTGATGTGAAGTAAAGGGGACATGCTCTACTCTGTTTGCTTTCCATTTCCAGGACAGTGAACATAAATACCAGCAAGGGTTAAGCATCAAAAGATGCATGTAATTTTAATCCACTGCAAGCAGCTTGTCATCTTGTAAATTCCTCCAGAACCAAGGGGGAAAAACACTTGAGCCTCAAACTAGTTTGACAGGCTCTTTCTGCTTTGGGTCATTTCCTACTTCCCTGTGCCAACCATCAGTGTCAGAAGCAAGCCAAGTCACTGAACACATTTTGCCTGGATGATCAGAGAATTGCAAGAAAGGGATGTAACTTGGAGGACAGGGAGCTAGAATGGATTGTGATAGGTTCTGGGGAGGGTCTTGGAAAAGTGGGATGGACTAGAATCTCCGCCCCTGGCTAGGCTTATAAATCTATGAGCTGGTCAGGCAAGAGCAAGGGACTCGTGGGAGAGTTGAGGAACAGGTTCTTTCACTTTCCGACTTTGCGTGAGGAATGTCTATGGGCTATTAAAGTCTCAGACAACGTGCTGTCTCTTGGGTGTCTGTGTCCGCATTTCCATTGTCTCTGTGAGAAAAGATGTGGCTGAGGTTTTTTATGAGCACCCTTCTCCTTCACTTAACAGCTGCCTCTCCTCCTGAACTGTAAGAAATTCCACTTCTTTACTAACAATATGTATTTGCTGGGAATCGTTCATGTATTAAAGGCTTGGAGGCACAGTTAGATGCTGCTGCTGCTGCTGCCATCTTTTATGTCAGGGGGTCTAGGTTGAATTCTAACTTAGGTTACAGGTTAAATGGGTTGAATGCTTCTCCTGTTAGCACAAGAGAGGCATTTTATACCTTGCTAAACTACCACAAACTCGAACAGGTTTGAGCTTGTATGTTAGGAAAGGGAAAAGTAATAGCAAGGTGCAGTGTGACAGATGTGGCCTTCCAGGATTCATAGCATGGAGGGCTGCAGAGCAGGACTGAGGGGCATTGGAAGAGTTGTGTGGGCAGCCCAGGAACAGGAAAGGGGCTGCAAGAGATTGTTGGCAATTGGCAGAGCTGTCTGGGGTTCTACGTTAGATCTGAATCTATCATGTAAAAGGCTTTTGCTCCTCAAAAACCGTTGTTAAACCTCTGCCAAACAGGCTTTTTCTTCCTAGTCCCTTGAATTAATCTGTGGTATTTGATTTCTATAGTCAGTACAGCTTGATGGTGCCCTCAGTGCTGCAGAGCAACTCTCCAGACCAGGCCTGCATCCAGATCCACAACCTCAATGAGTCGGTGTCCATGAGCATCGCCCTAGAGTACAGCAATGCCAACACCACTATCCTTGAGCAATCTGTAAAAGGAAATTACTTCTTCAAGTGCATCAGATTCATGGTACAGATTTTAAGCCACATTCTAATCAAGAAAGAAAAAGTAATCCAGGAAAGCATGCACGATCATAGAAGTGATCTTACAGTTAGCAATGTGAGAGAGAAGGTTATACAGGGAGAAAGAGGGAGAAATAAGAGCTGTAAAGGACTGAGAAGGAGACAGCTGGTACGGGAACTCAGGCGAGGGTGCATGGCTAGTACACTTCATGCTGCAGGCAGGCAACTCTTGGGGAGAATGCTCCTCCCTGAACATTCTCCCACTAATGTTTTGAATCTTTCCCAGGCTCCTCGTGCCACCGCTTCCCCCTTGGCTTTCGTCACTTTCTCTGCTAAAGGTGCCACAGTCAGGCTGGCAGAGAGGAGGTCGGTGGCAATTCAGAATGTGGAGAGCATTGTTTTTGTCCAGACAGACAAACCTATCTACAAGCCAAGACAGACAGGTGAATGTGGATGCTGCCTTACTTAATGTCTTTCCCTCAGGGAACCAATATCCTGAGCTAGAGTGAGAGAGACTTGCTCTTCACAGTGCATTTGGGTTGACTGCTCAGCATCTTAATGTTTGCTGGTGCTGAGGAACCTACCCTCAGACACGGGGTGACTGTCAAATCCCAACTCATTCCCTAGGCTTTATTCATTCTTTCTTTCCAAAGTCACTACTTTTGTCTCCTGCTCTCACAGCAGCTGCCTTGTTATGGCTCCCAGGCACTCATAGCCCTGAAGAGACCCATGTCTGTGGCCATGGCTGGGCTTCCAAGCTTTAAAGATGCAGCTGGTGCTTAGCATGATAGTCTGTGAGGGAAGGTCCTCACTAAGAATTACCTGCTATGCAGACACTGCGGAATCACTTCTGAGTCAGGCAAACTGCTCTCATGAGGGATGGCTGCTTCTTAATGACACATGGCACTTTTATATGCTCAAAGCCCTGTGTGGACACTAACCAAATTAATGGGAACACACCCCTGGGACAATGTGTGTGGGGGGGGGAGACATGACATTTTTGCAGTGTAGAAATAGAGATTTGCATAAAGCCACACCAGGTTTTAGCAACAGAACTCAAGCTGCCTGACTCCCAACCCAACCTATTCCTTCAGACCACACTCCCTTTCCCTCAACTGGCAGGGGTGGGGAACCTCAGGCCTGGGGGCTGGATGCAGCCTTCAGCTTGCCTGGATTCATCCCCAAAGGCTCATGTACCCCCCCAGAATTGAGGAGCCCATGCTGGCACTCCAGTCACCTCTCTGCCCCGCAACAGGGCTGGAGCACACAAAATCTACTAAGGCTGATCCCACCTGGGCTCTGGTGTGCAAGGGAAATGTGGGGAGTGTCTTTTTCTTCAGTCGGGGACCACATCAGTGAGGATTTGGGTTTTTTATTTTGCTTCTCACCTGTGCACAGCCCCTGACTGATTCATCTGCCCCCAACCTAAAAAAGGTTCCTCACCCCTGCTTCAGCAGGCCAGACAAACCTGCTGTTAGGCCCATGGAAGCTTGACCATGGAAAGTCTCTCACAGGAAAGACTGAAGCCAGAACCCTCTCTCCTGTGGGCACAGACCCGAGCAGTGGTTAACCTGTTCCCTTTCCAAGAGGGCAGTGCTAGAAAACCAGCTGAAGAGGGGGTGTGCTGTGGAACAAACTGGAGCTCAGAAGATAGACGAGAAATAATGGTAAATTCTTTCCCATGTCTTTTCAGTGCTGTTGCGAGTTGTCGCTATCGATACCCAATTTAAGCCTGTTCAGGAGATGGTGAGTGTGGACAGAGACCAGAATTACCCAGAATTATCCCACCTGGATGGTAAATTGGTGGATGTCACCTCATCAGCCCCCACCCAACCTTAAAATAAGCACCTATTGAGGACAGAATTGGAGATGAATTTCTGCAGAAATCAAAGGAGAAATATTCATTTGAACTGGAACCTTAACACTGCATGTAAAAAGTCCTAGCCTAAGTGCAGCAGTCATGCACAGCACACTAGTGTTTAGGCAGCTGTGCTCCTGGCACAGGAGTTGGTCAAGGCACTTCAAGGAGAGTCTGTGCCTTGCAATGTCAGGTGATCCTTACGGCTCTGACAAGCAAGGTCACTTGGCCCACATAAGCTGTTCCCAGGCAGAGTGCGCTGCCAAAGGCAACAGGCTCCCTAGCCATCCGCAAGGGAAGAGAATCTAGACACTGCCAACCAACAGACTGTCTGTCTTGAGGATATGATACTTACTGCAGCACATGGAGGTGTCCTGGCTGTCTTCTTGACTGGGGCTTCCTGCCCCTTATTCTTACCTCCTACCTGTGCAAAAGAGAGCAGGATTTTGTCCTGTTGAAAGGTGCTAGATAATCTGAGATTGTGGGTGGATGAGACAAAAAAGGCCTGATTCTGATTTTAGGTGCAACATTTTAATGGCAACTGTACTGCTCCTGTTTGCACCAGTATAATGGAGATCAGATTCTGTCATAGATTGTCCTTATACCCTCATCTCCTCTACATTTTCTATAATCTTTGGTATTTAGGGCCAAACAATCAGTTCTTATCCATATGAAATTCCCATTAAACTCAGTGAAAATGCTGTTCAAATACTCTCTATAAATTTGAGACCTTAATATTTAAAATTGTGTTTTAAATTGTTATTTGTTCAATTCTGAAGAATCTGGA